GGGGCTCGAACTCATAGACTGTGAGATCATGACCTTAGCCGAAGTTGGACGCCCAACTGACTGAGCCACCCAGGCACCCATTTTATTATTATTATTATTTTTTTAATGTTTTTTTATTTATTTCTAGGAGAGAGAGAGAGACAGCGTGAGCAGGGGAGGGTCAGAGAGAGAGGGAGGCTCTGAAACAGGCTCCAGGCTCTGAGCTGGCAGTCAGCACAGAGCCCGACGCGGGGCTCGAACCCACGAACCGCGAGATCATGACCCAAGCGAAAGTCGGACGCTTAACCGACTAAGCCACCCAGGCGCCCCCCGTTTTATTACTTTTTAAAGTTTATCTATTTTGAGTGAGAGAAAGAAAGCGCACACGAATATACAGGTAGGGGAGGGGCAGAGAGAGGGAAAGAGAGAGAATCCCAGGCAGATTCTGCACTGTTGGTGCAGAGCCCAATGCGGGGTTCGAACTCATGAACTGTGAGATCATGACCTCAGCTAAAGTCAGATGCTTAACTGACTGAGCCGCCCATGTGCCCCAAGATTTTAAGTAATTTCTACGCCCAACGCGGGGTTCGAGCTCCCAATCCCAAGGTCAGTGTAAGAGTCTAACAGTTGCCCTGCTCTTACACCTCCTCGGTTAAGTTCCCAAGTGTCTTCACTGTTTAATAATGAAACAAGTTGAGGTTCAAGTTTCCCCACGATTCCTGATTTTCATCTCAAGACGGGCAGGCCAGCCCCCCATGCTACCTAGCTGGTGGGGACAGAGCCCCAGGGGAGAGGAATGCTCACGCTTCTGGGTGCTAGCATGCCCCCTGCTCCCAGGTGATGCCCCTGCGCTTTGGGAAAGACGTCGATGGGAAATGCCACAGCCTCACGGCCTCCTACGTGCGGGCGCAGTACCAGCAGGACCCCAGCCTGCCCCACTGCCGCTTCTACGAGGTGCCCGCCCAAAGGGCTGAGGGAGGGCGGGCAGCGGGGAAGACGGCTGCGACGGCCGACCTCCCTGACCCCTCTTACCCTCTCACTCCCAGGAGTTTGACGTCCACGGGCGCCAGGTGCCCCTCCCCGCTGGCATCTACAACCTGGATGACCTGAAGGCCCTGGGGCGGCGCCAGGGCTGGTGCCCCTATTTCCTTGCCCGATATTCGGTGAGAAGACCCAGGGGGCCGGGCGGAGGGGCAGGGGTGTGGGCTACGGCCAGCCTGTCAGTCTGTCTATCCATCAGCTCATGTTTGTACCTTGTCCGGGTCCGGCTTGCCTGGCCTTGCCTCTGTGGGCCCGCGAGGGAGCTCTGGCTGGCGCTAGCGGGGGTGACCCTGCCCTCCTCACCCCTAGATCCTGCACGCCAATGTGGTGGTTTACAGCTACCACTACCTCTTGGACCCCAAGATTGCGGAGCTGGTCTCCAAGGAGCTGGCCCGGAAGGCAGTCGTGGTCTTCGACGAGGCACACAACATCGGTGAGTCGGGAGGGGCGGAGGACCAGGTCGGCCCCTCGGCCGGCCGCTGCTGCGCCCGTTGCCTGAGCTCCGCCCTCCCCGCCCTCCCCGCCTCTCCTCTAGACAACGTCTGCATCGACTCCATGAGCGTTAACATCACGCGCCGGACCCTGGACCGGTGCCAGGGCAACCTGGAGACCTTGCAGAAGACGGTGCTCAGGTGGGGGACCCGCCGCCCACCCTGCCCCTGCCGTCTGGCCCCCCGCGGCCCCCGGGCTCCGTGTTCTGCCTGACATACTCCCAGGGACACCGGCTCTGTCCCAGTGTCCCCCCAGATGTCCCTCACATGCCTCCCACTCTGCCCACACCCGATCCCCCTGCCTCCACCACAGGATCAAGGAGACCGATGAGCAGCGCCTGCGGGACGAGTACCGGCGCCTGGTGGAGGGGCTGCGGGAGGCCAGTGCCGCCCGGGAGACCGATGCCCACCTGGCCAACCCCGTGCTCCCCGACGAGGTGCTGCAGGGTGAGCCGCCCGTGCCCCGCTGCGCCTGCGCCCCATCGCGCCCCCGCCCCATGGTGGCTGACCCTGTCTCCCCGCAGAGGCGGTCCCCGGCTCCATCCGCACGGCCGAGCACTTCCTGGGCTTCCTCCGGCGGTTGCTGGAGTACGTCAAGTGGCGGCTGCGGGTGCAGCACGTGGTGCAGGAGAGCCCCCCCGCCTTCCTGAGCGGCCTGGCCCAGCGCGTGTGCATCCAGCGCAAGCCCCTCAGGTGGGGCCCCGCAGGGGCTTGGGGCGACCCGGGCCGGTGCCGGCAGTAAGGGATGGGTGTAGAGTGAGCATGTGCGTTGAGCATGCGCGGTGGCGTTCCGGCAGACCCGGTGGACCCACGGGGAGCTCGGGCTGGCCCTGCGTCCCTGTGTTGGGCAGGACACTGGTAAGCAGCAGGTGGCTTACTCAGCTTGATGGAAGCAGGAAGGGCAGGGGGTCTGACAGGGATCTTGGGGCACTTGTAAGGCTCAGGAATTTCTACCTGACGCCATGGGGGCAGGGGACGGATGGCCCTGGACGGGGCTCCTGTAGCGCCCCAGTGGGGTGAGAGCTGGGGGGAAACTCGGGTCTCCTGGACCCGTCTCTTCCTGGGGCTTCTCCTTGTCCCCCAAAAGCCTGACGGCAGGAACCCTCCCCCCCCCCCCCCCCCCCCCCCCCCCCCCCCCCCCCCCCCGCCTCCGCCAGTCTGGCGGGGGTCAGTCTCTCCAGCACAGAATAGGCAGAGAACGGACCTGGGAGTGGGGTGGGGCCTTCTGTACTTTTCCTTGGCTGTTTTGAAGGAACGGGTCTTCTCAGGTCTTCTCTGAACCTGTTTCCTCCTTTGTTCAATGGGGGGGGGGGCATCACCTTCACTCCCGGGTTTCTGTGGTGGTGAAATGAAAGAGTGGTGACAGAAGTCACTTACCCTGTTCTGAGCACTGATGACGAGCTGAGCACTTTCCCTTCTGCGTCTTGTGGGAGCTCAGGATGGCACCCTTGCACTGCAGAGAACAGTGTGGTCCGGGGCGGGAGGGAGGAGAGGGGAGCCATTGCCCGGGGTTGCTCAGCACCTCGTGGGCCACTTGTGTGAAGCCAGGCCCGTAAGGCTCCGAAGCCCCTGGCTGCCCTGCCTCTGAGGGTCTGGGGCAGCCCTCGGGGTGGCTCCGTGAGTCCCCAGGCTGGGATGACCAGGGTGAGCCCTGCAGGGATGGGGGAGCTCAAAGGGGCACCCGGGCCGGCTGGGATGGGGCGTGCAGATGACACACTTGGGGCAGATGGCATTCGGAGACAGGTTCTGAAGCTCTGACTGCATGGCTCCGAGGCCAGGCGTTCCCGCTCCATGACCTGCTCTTGAGGGGTGACGGCCTCAAGCCCGACCATCGGCCAGGTGACCGGGTGGCCTCGTGTGTGCGTGCGTGCTGGTCACAGTGTGTGCGAGATTGTCCTCGGAGTATGCGGGACTCTGATGCCTGGATGTGCTACCACGGTGGCCCAGTGTGACAGGAGCGGCGTGCCAGGTCCCGGGTGTGAGTGTGCCTGCGGCCGTGCAGGATTCGGGTTGTGACTGGGACTCTGGGTGTGGCCCTGGCTCTCCTCTTCTGACCAAGAGCCAGTATGAGGCTGTGTGGCCGTGTGTGACGTGTGACCGCATGGCTCAGGACTGTACGACCTCTCTGCATGATGTGGGGACGCAGAGGCAACTGAAGCAGCCCTGGCCTCGGTCCTCATGGAGCACCCGGTCACCTGGGGAGACTGACGTGTGACTGCTTGTGGCGAGGGCGCAGGGGCTCGCCGGTCCTGTCCGCCCTCCGCCGCCACCCTGAGCCCGTCTGGCCTCCGCCAGGTTCTGTGCCGAACGGCTCCGCTCCCTCCTGCACACCCTGGAGATCGCCGACCTTTCCGACTTCTCTCCCCTCACCCTCCTCGCTAACTTCGCCACCCTCGTCAGCACCTATGCCAAGGGTAAGCTCGTCCTCTCCTGCCCCCGCCCCCCCACTGCCCCGCCCCCGCCCCCGCCCCCGCCTCGGCAGCCAGAACCCAGAGCCCAGCACAGTCCAGAGGGCTGTCTGTGGGACTCGGGCTTCTGGGGCCCTGGAGGCCTGGGCTTGGGAGCCTGGGCTTTATTTCGAGTGCAGTGAGGATCCAGGATAGTTCTTGGGTTAGCAAGCCTCGTGCTCAGGTGCGCATTTTCCAGCTGCAGAGCGGAGTAGGGATGGGGGATGAGGCCAGAGAAACTCTGTGGGGTCCCTCACACTGTCGGGTGTGGTAAGTCTCGGCCCTTCTGTTGCCGGGAAGTCAGGAGCCATGGTGAGTTCTGAGCAAGGGAGGGTGGGGACCTGGGGAAGCATGGGAGGGGCTGGCGCCTGGGGTGGGGGCAGCGAGGCAGGGGCGTGGGGAGTAAGGAGCCAAGCGCTCGCTGGGGAGAGGGGAGGTGTTCCTGTGTGGAGCCTTTACTGGTCAGCACCTGTTAAGCTGATCCCCAGGGATTACTACTCTGTCCCCGAAACCAGGTCAGGCCCCTGACACCTGCCGCTGCAGGGCCGGGTGCAGCGCCTATTCACACCCCCCCACCCCCAGCACGCCTCAGTAGCAGTAAGTCCCACTATAGGCTTTCTTCTGTGTCCTTCCCCCACCCCATCTTCCTTCCTCCCCCTCCCTCCCCCCTCTCTCCTCCCCCCTCTCTCCTCTCCACCAATGTCCCAGAACATCTTGCCCGATGTTCCTCAGCCCCCAACTATCTGCTCCTCATCCTTCAGTTCTTATCTGGTGAAAGATGTCCTGTTCCAGGAAGCCCTTCACTGACCCCAGGCTGTGTCAGACCCCCCTCCTCTGGTCTCCCCTGTCCCAGCCCTCCCAGCCCTGTCTATTCTGGTCACTCGCTGGGGACAGGAGTGTGTCCCCATCATCAGACCGTGAGTCCTGAAAGGGTAGGGCCAGAGCTGTCTAGGTTCCCGCTGTGGCCCCAGTACAGGGCTGGGCACAGAGAACTTGACTTTTTTTTTTTTTTTACAATTTTTTTTAATGTTTTATTTATTTCTAGGGGAGAGAGAGACAGTGTGAGCAGGGGAGGGTCAGAGAGAGAGGGAGTCACAGACTCTGAAACAGGCTCCAGGCTCTGAGCTGGCAGTCAGCACAGAACCTGACGCGGGGCTCGAACCCACGAACTGCGAGATCATGACCTAAGCGAAAGTCGGACACTTAACCGACTAAGCCACCCAGGCGCCCAGACTTTTTTTAGAGTGTGTGTGCACGCACAGACAGGAGAGAGGAAAGGAGAGAGGGGGAGAGAGAATCCCAAGCAGGCTCTGCACTGTGGGTGAAACCTTGGTACCTGGCACTTCCCAGTTCTTAGCATTGGGGAGGTGACAGGAGTCAAGAAGGACCTCATGGGGCCGATCTGGAATTGATGTCCTAGAAGAGAAAGACGGGTAGCCAAGACTCAAATGAGATAATTCTAAAAAGGGATAGTTGTCATGAGAAACAAAAATGTTGCCATGTTGGAGCATGCCAGCGGCGGCTCGGGCAGTCAGGGAAGGCCTGAGGCGCTGACATTTGAGCCGAGTCCCAAATGACCAAATGGAACTAGCCGCCTTGGGAATCTTTTCAGACTTGTGGGGCCAGCAAGTGCAAAGGCCCTGGGGCAGAGTGAGCCCGGTGGTTTTAAAAGTGAAGTAGGAGGCCTGTGAGCAAAGAGGGGATGGCGTCAGTGTGGCAGGGTCCCAGACAATTTGGGCCCCTGGGAGGGGTGTGGGGGGCTGTATGGGACTTCTGGGCAGGGCAGGGGTATGACCTGACTTAGGATTTCACAGGGTCTCTGGCTGCTGGGAAGGGAGCAGGGTGGGCACTGGAAGCCTGGTGAGGTGGTGAGTGCAGTGGTCCAGGCAGAGACAGCAGTTGGGGAGGGGGTGGGAAGAGTGGGCTTTGGAGGCAGAGCTGAGCAGCCTGGTGGCTTAGATAGAAAGGTCTTGGGGAGGGCTCCAGGCTGTGGCTTGAGTGATGGGCTGGCTTCTCGTGGCCCCGGGAAGTCAGGGGTGCACCTTTGGTGCTCTCTGTTCATGATGCTGAGTGGGGTGTCAGCCCTGGGAGGAGCGGGCAGGCTGGGGTGTCCTTTGGACTCTGGGTGCCTGGGTCTTCAGCTGGGACAAAGTGTCAGTGGTCCTGGTCACTGAGGGGAGGAGGGCGGGCCAGGGGGCGTGGCTACAACTGGTGACCTGGAATCTCACTGGCTCCTAGGTTTCACCATCATCATTGAGCCCTTTGACGACAGGACCCCCACCATTGCCAACCCCATCCTGCACTTCAGGTGAGCCCCAAGCCCGGCGTGGGGGTGAGGACAGGCCCCAGGGCCCCAGCGTGGCCCTCACTGCCCTCTCCTGCTTCCTGCAGCTGCATGGACGCCTCGCTGGCCATCAAACCCGTGTTCGAGCGCTTCCAGTCTGTCATCATCACATCCGGGGTGAGGACCCTTTCCCCCCACCGTCCCCAGCCATCCACGGTGGGTTCCTGGTTTCCGCCCAGTCCTGCTCAGGTCGTGCCTGCTGTGCCCACTACAGACGCTGTCCCCACTGGACATCTACCCCAAGATTCTGGACTTCCACCCTGTCACCATGGCAACCTTTACCATGACGCTGGCCCGGGTGTGCCTCTGCCCTATGGTGCGTGGGAGAGGGTGGTGCCGGGGCAGGGGAGATGGGGACAAGGGCCACCTTTCCTCCATCTCTTCCCTCTGTGGCTCAGGCAGGAGAGTTTTATGGCTGAGGGCACAGATTCTGGATTCAGACGCGCCTGGTCTTGGTGCTACTTTTCCCTGTGGGTAGGACTCTCCAAGCCTCAGTTTCTAATCTGTAAAATGGAATGCATTCCTCTCTGATGTCCCAGGCTCCTGGAGGGGATAGTGAGATAATGGGCATAAAACACTAGTGCGGCCCAGGGCACTCGGTCAACATCTTGGTTCATGTGGCCTTGCCTTGTCCACCATCTGGCTGTAACCTTGGTGAGTGACCCTTGTTCAGTTTCCTTGTAAAGGGGTATCTGAACATGGGCCTTTAGTCCCTTACTGAATCCCTTCAGGACTGAATCCTCAGTCCCCTCAGTCTGAATCCCTGGGGTCAGATGTATTTTGTTTTTTTTATTTGAGAAAGCGAGAGGGGGGAGAATCTCAAGCCGGCTCTGCACTGCTAGCACAGAGCCCAGTGCAGGGCTTGAACTCACGAACCGTGAGATCGTGACCTGAGCTGAGATCGAGAGTCAGATGCTTAACCAACTGAGCCCCCAGGTGCTGCAACCAGATGCATTTTAGAGACTTTTCCAGACTTTAAAAACAAAGCACTTGCTGGGTGGTATGTCCCATTGCCAGTGGGACCTGGCCCGCCCCCCGCCTCCCCCCGCCAAGTCCTGTTACAGCAGGAAAACGTTTTGAAATGTCAAAGTAACGCACATAGGCCAGGACTCTGCACACACTCAGGTAGGAGCAGATGTGTTTGTGCGAGAGTCCCACATCTGCCATTTTTGGAGGGATTTTTTTGCTCATGAAGTTTCCCTTGGGGAGCTGTGGACTGCTGGCGACCACGTACTGCATCATCGTGTTTTGTGGACTTGCGAGGGAGGGGGGATGCACGGGGGCTGTCGAGGTCGTGGTGACACATTCACCTGGAGGCTGGGGTCGGTAGAACGTACTTGCTGGCCAGCAACCCGGACGGTGGGTTCTGTTCTGCCTCTGATCTTGATATGCCGCGTGACAGCAGGCAGCTCCCCTTCTCAGGGCCTTCGGTCCCTCCTCTGTGGGGGGCAGATCGCAGGGCAGCCGGGGGGTCGTTCAGTGTGGTTGCCTCTGTAAACAGCTGAGCGGAGCATCAGCTGGCTGCCCACGTTGGAGCGGCTGTTGTGCTGGGTGCTTATCCTAATGGCTCTCACCCTCTCCAGATCATTGGTCGGGGCAACGACCAGGTGGCCATCAGCTCCAAGTTTGAGACCCGGGAGGATATCGGTATGCTGCCCGCGGGGGGTCTGCATGGGCTGGCGGGGGGGGGGGGGGGGTGGACTGGGAGGCTGAGTCACGCTGCAGTAACAAGTAGCCCCAGGTCAAAGCGGCTGAGCGTGGAGGGTGCTTCTTGCCACGCCGGCTGGGGGACGCCTGCCCCAGGTCTCCGCGCCCTGCGCACCTCGGCCGCGGGACCAGAATGGCGGCCGTTCCGATGTGGCGGAGAGATCCTGGGGTTCGGGCTGTGTCCCGCCCCCTGGAAGTGACTCCCCGCCACTCCACTCATTTCACTGGGTAGGGCGAGTCACGTGGTCACACCTGGCTTCAGGGGTGGGGCACAGTCCTCCCAAGGGCCTGGGCAGAGAAGCGGCATGTGTGGGAACAGCCCTGCAGGCGGCCTCAGCGGGGTTTCTAGGAACCCCACCTTCAAGGTAGGGTCTAAAGGGGCGCCTGAGTGGCTCCGGAGATTAAGCGTCCAACTCTTGATCTCAGCTCAGGTTTTGGGCTCAGGGTTGGGAGTTCAAGTGGACCCTACCAAAAAAAAAAAAAGGTTCGTGTGGAACCTACTTCCAAAAACCAAACCAGGGCATTGGATAGAAGTGCTCTAACGGGGAGGGGAGAGGACATCCGAGGCTGACCTGTGACCCCCCTCCCCACCAGCGGTGATCCGGAACTACGGGAACCTCCTGCTGGAGATGTCCGCCGTGGTCCCCGATGGCATCGTGGCCTTCTTCACCAGCTACCAGTACATGGAGAGCACCGTGGCTTCCTGGTACGAGCAGGTACGCATCCCCCTGCCCCCACCCTGGGCCCTGCTCCTCCTCCGTGTGTCGGCTTCGTTTGCCTTCCAAGTGGCCAGTGTATCACAGGTGACAGGACAGGGTGTGGAACCTTGTGCATGCCTTCCCCTCCCCGCCCCCCCCCCCAATCCAGGTTAAAAAGCCGAGCCCCTTCTAGGCAGTGTCTGAGTGAGGTCATGGGACTCTGGAAACCGGGCTCGCACAGCTGGGCCCTCTCTGCTGGNCCCCCCCCCCCCATCCAGGTTAAAAAGCCGAGCCCCTTCTAGGCAGTGTCTGAGTGAGGTCATGGGACTCTGGAAACCGGGCTCGCACAGCTGGGCCCTCTCTGCTGGCGCACCGTGGCCCGGCTCTAGGGTGGGTGAGGCCAGGCCCTTCCTGAGGGGGAGAGGAGAGAGCGGGGCAGATCCAAGCACCAAGGAACAGAGCGGGTGGCGGTTGGGGTTGGGACCTCATCAGTTCGGCCGAGACCTTAGCCTTGTCCTCACGTGGGCGCTTTCCACCCAGTGGGGCAGGTGGTTGCCGACCACTCAAATCCACATCCTCTGTGTCTTTCGGGTCCTGTTTAAGAAGACTCTGCCTGCCCCAAGGTCACGAAGACGGTCTCCTGGGTTTCTTGTAGACGCCTCATAGTTTTAGCTTTACGTCTGGGTCTGTGAGGTCCCTCAGATTCATCTTTGTGTATGGGGTAAGGTCAGGGTCAAGGTTGTTCTTTCTTTCCGTGTGGAGAGCCAGTTGCCACGGCCCCATTTACTGGAAAGCACTTCCCTACTGGATGGTACGAATGACGTTTCTTTGTGGGGGGTGCGTTTCTGGACCCTCTGGTCTGTCCCCGTGGCTGTCCTTGCTCGGTCTCCCCGGTTAAATGCAGTCACAGGAGATCTCTGGGCAGTGCTGATGGGCTCTGCCTGACCTACATCAGCCTCTCCACTAACCACCAGCTGGGGGCCAGAGTGTCCCAGTTGGCCACCTTGGGCCATAGGGCTCCCCCACTTGTTTGAGGGATGGGGTGCGGGGATTGGTGCCTCCCCTCACAGAGCCTCCCATGAGGAGCGAGGCTGGCCTGTACCACCTCCCTCCCTCCAGAGGCTCTGCTGGCCCACGGGCTGGTGCCCAGGAGCTGGGCAGAGCCGGGGGCCTGGGCCCTGAGTCCCCTGCCTGCCATCCCTCCCTAGGGCATTCTGGAAAATATCCAGAGGAACAAGCTGCTCTTCATTGAGACACAGGATGGGGCCGAGACCAGTGTCGCCCTGGAGAAGTACCAGGAGGTGGGTAGGGGCGTGGGGGCCCAGGGGACTGCATGCAAGGGGCCTGGAGGAGGCCGCCCCGGGGCACGCAGCTCTTGTCTCGGCCTCCCTCCCCCACAGGCCTGCGAGAACGGCCGCGGAGCCATCCTGCTCTCAGTGGCCCGAGGCAAAGTGTCCGAGGGAATTGACTTTGGTGAGTGGACTTGCCTTTCCTCTGCCCTGGTGTCGGTGTGGAGCTCTGGCTGCTCCTGGTCCCCCAGGGGACGCCCCCCTCATGCCTGGACACACTGGGACAACATCCACCCTTCCCTCTGTCCCGGGCGCCCAGTGGCGCCCTAGGTGCAGCTGTGCTCTTCCCTGAGACAGCACAACCTCCCGGGCCTCTCGTCACCCCGCGCCCCCTTCTTTTGTCTCGTCTCCCCCCTCCCAGTGCACCACTATGGGCGGGCTGTCATCATGTTCGGTGTTCCCTATGTCTACACCCAGAGCCGCATTCTCAAGGTGAGCAGCCTCGGGGGCGCTAGGAAGTTAGGGCCCCTCGGGCCTCCCCCGGAGCTGGTGGGGTGTGGAAGGCACCGCTCTGCCCTCTAGCCCCGGCAGGCCCGGCTGGAGTACCTGCGGGACCAGTTCCAGATCCGAGAGAACGACTTCCTCACCTTCGATGCCATGCGCCACGCAGCCCAGTGTGTGGGTCGGGCCATCCGGGGCAAGACAGACTACGGTCTCATGGTCTTTGCCGATAAGGTGGGGGTGCGGGGGCCTCTCCTGCCAGGGAGCCCCCCTCTTCCAGAGGGGAGGGAGGGCTGGGGTTCCCCGCACCCCTGGGGGCCTGACGTCTTCCCTTTGCCCCTCGCCCACCATAAGCGGTTCGCCCGGGCGGACAAGCGAGGGAAGCTTCCCCGCTGGATCCAGGAGCACCTCACCGACGCCAACCTCAACCTGACGGTGGACGAGGGTGTCCAGGTCGCCAAGTACTTCCTGAGGCAGATGGCACAGCCCTTCCACCGGGTAAGCTGGACGTGGCCTGTCCTCATGGGCTGAGCCCCTCTTCCAGGAAGGCCCCTTGATTTTCTCCCCAAGCCTGCCCTCCACAGAGAGGCCTGGGACTGGGGGCACAGGGTGGGGGGCAAGAGCCAGTTCTTGGTTTTGGACGCTGGCTGGCTCCCATCTCCCCCCCTCAGTACCTCAGGGCTGGGCCCTTCTCCATCATACGGGTGTTTCTAAGTCCTGCCCCAGTACGCCCAGTCGGGCCACTTCCAGTTGTTACTGGCTCTCGAGTCTTGGGTCCCCGTGTCCTGGTGGGGCAGGGAATCCTGTACCATCGCCTCTGACCTGCCCCTTGTCCCCTCCAGGAGGACCAGCTGGGCCTGTCCCTGCTCAGCCTGGAGCAGCTGCAGTCAGAGGAGACGCTGCGGAAGATCGAGCAGATCGCGCAGCAGCTGTAGCGCAACCCCCCTGCCCCCCCGGGTCCTGGCGGCCGCAAAGCCACCCCTGATCCTTACAGCGAGCCTAAGGCACACATTCCAGGCTTCCAAATCTACAGCCTTTAATCGCAGGAGGAGAATGGGGAGCAGGTCTGGGAGATGAAAGGCCGCGCCTCCCCCCTCTTCCTGAGAAGCTGCAGCGGTTGGTCACCTTCAGCGGGGGCCCAGGTCCTGGGTGCTGGCGCTGAGGCTCCGAGCGGCCTCGCTCAGGTGCTGGCCGGTGAACTACGGGCAGGCAGGACGAGGCTGTGCTCCAGTCGCCGCGAGGGCCAACCCGCCAGCATCCTTGCTAGCCTGTCCCTCCCGCCCCGAGCCTTGCTGCGGTGACCCTCACCTGGGTCCCTGCAGCCTTCGGACCGTCCACATTCAGCATGTTGAGCGACATGGCTCTCTTCATTCTGGAAGAAGAGGGTGAGTCCTGGGGTGGCCGACGCCTCATCAGGACTCTTGCAGAGGAGCTGGGACCCACGGACAGTTCTTGGGGGCGGCGGGGGGGGGGGGTTGCAGAGGCCGCAGCCGTCGGGGCCCTTTGCCAATCCCGTGAGCCACTCACCCTGCGGCCCCGGCCAGCCCCTCGCCTCGCAGACGGGAGACCAGCTTCTCGCTTCCACGCCGCAGGGACTCACGGAGCTTGGAGAAGGAGCTGCTGCGGCGCAGGGTCTGGGGGGGGGGTGCCGAGGAGCGGGGTCAGCCCCCCCCTGCTCTCCCATCCACAGCCCTGCGGCTGAAGCGAGGCCCAGCCCCCAGCCTCACCTGGTCTGTGTCAGCAGCTGTGCCTGTGCGGGGGGCTCCTAGAACAGAGGCGGACAGTGCGGTGGGGACAGTGGAGGCCGGCTGGGGGCGGGGCAGGGGGCGGGGCTCACCCAGAGGCGCCGGCAGGGCCTCCCGGCGGAGGATCTCCTTGTAGAGCTCCTCCGCTTGCTGGTACTTGTTCTGCTTCAGGTAGGCCGAGGCCTGCGGGGAGGGCAGGGCCTGGGTGATCGAGGCCGATCTGGAGCTTCCCGGCCAGTCCTCCCTCCCCCCCCCAGCCTCCCGCCTCATGACCTGGGGCCCGTGACCAGCTCCTGCTCTGCCTTGGGCTAGCGACACAACCTCTTTGTGCCTTGGTTTTCTTGTTTGCAAAACGGAGCAGAAAGCACCTGCCTCCCAGAGCCCTGGCAGCAGTGGGAGGGGCCGGGCGGGTGCGGAAAAGGGGTCTAAAGCTCAATAAATATTGGACTGTGTCCTCTCGCCCCACCAGCTTGCGTGGTTTCCTGATGCTTCCACGTCCCTCCGGCTCAGAGGCCCGGGCTTACGGACCCCTTCTCCGTGGGCTCAGCCGAGGCAGGCCTCCTGTGGTAGCCCCCACCTTGAGCCAACGGGGGCCCCTCCAGAGGGCCCCGGGCAGTCGGCCCCGGGTTGGGCCTGGGCCCCGCAGTGCCCTCACCAGGTTGTTCTTGGTCTTGGCCACGTTCTGGTCGTGGGGCCCCCCCAGGGCCTCATAAATGCTCAGGGCCCGGGCATAGTGCTGCTCCACCTCCTCGAACTTGCCCTGGTTCTGGCAGAGCAAGGCCAGGTTGTTGAGCTGCTTGGCCACGTCCGGGTGGTCGGAGCCCAGGACCTAGGGGTCGGAGGGCCATGTGATGCCAGGCTCAGGAAGTAAGGTTTACAGGATCACCGGGGAGGGTTACATGAGGGGGGGGGAGGGTCACAAGGTCCCGGCTGTCCCATGGGATTGGAAGGTCAGGACCGGCTTGGGGGCAGCAGTGGGGGACACATGCCGTGACTTACAAAGAGGAGCAGAGTCAAGAGTTAACAGCAGGTGGAGCTCACCGAAGGCCAAGGGTAGTGGGTCATGCGATGGAGTAATTTAGGCTCAAACTGGGTGCTTGTGACACCAGATATCAAGGACATCATAGCATCAGGGTTACAGCTGAGAGCCAGGGACTCAGGATGGAGGGGAAGGGCCGGGGGACCCCGGGGGTGGGGGCAGCACCTTCTCACGGATCTCCAGGGCGCGCTGGCACAGCGGCTCAGCCTCCCGGTAACGCCCACGCTTCCCATAGAGCACAGCCAGGTTGTTGAGGGTGGCGGCCACCTGTGGCAGTGAGGGCGGGGGCAGGTCAGGGGGGTGGGAGGCCCAACCCCTCAGGCCTAACGCAGCCCCTCCCCCTCCTCACCGCGGGGTGCTCGGGGCCCAGCGTCTGCTCCCGGATCTGCAGGGCATCGTGGAGAAGGTCTGTGGCCTCTTTGTACTTGTTCTGGTCCCTGTGGGGGGCCCGGGGACAGAGCGGTCAGCTGTGCCGGGTAGTACGCGGCTGAACCAAGCATGGGCGGCGCCGCGGTCCCTAATGGGTCTCCACACCTCCCGAGTCTAGCACAGGGTCCCTTTACCCCCAGATTGCTGCCAGGCCTCCGGCCGCGCCCTGTCTCTTCCCTGCTCTCTTGGGGTCTCTATTGCCCACGTTCTCGGGCCCCTCTTAGCCTGGCTTCCCCAGATCCCTCTCAACACCCCTGACGGCCAGCCCCGGCACCCCAGCAGCAGGCCCCTCACCGGTACACCAGCGCCAGGATATTGAGCATGGTGGCCACGTCAGGGTGGCAGTGGCCCGAGCTCCGCTCCAGGTCCTCCAAGGCCTGGCGGCACAGGGGCACGGCGACTTCATAGCGACCCTGCCCTGCGTACTGGATCACGAGGTTGTGCAGGGTGCGAAGGCGGGCTGGGATCTCGTAGCCCCCCTGCTGAGCGGCCGCAGCCCCCGCTGCCTCAGGACCTGCGGGGGGAGGGGTTATCGAGTCACTGTGGGCCTCCCACCCTTCCCACCCCAGGAAAGGGCACACAGGTACCCCTGGAGCTACAGCGGTGCCCGACTGGCCACTGGGATGACATCTGAGATGGGGATTGCAGGTGTCTGCCTGGCAGGGGCCGGGGGGTGGGGGGGGCTGGTTTCCAGCTTCCAGCCCCCTCTGCCAGCCACCACCCTCGGGCCCCGGCGCCCACGTCCCTGCTCAGACACCCTGGGGGCTCACGGCCCCTCATCCTCCGAGGCTGAGTGCCCACCACCGCATGCCCCCTGCACCCACCTTGCCTGCTGTCTTCCTCGCTGGGGAACAGGGAGGCCAGGCTGTCGCGGCGTGGCGGGGATTCAGGCTGCTGCAGGGGACAGGAGAGCGGGGTGTCATGAGGCCTGGGAAGTCTGTTTTAGAATCCAGGGTCGGGATCGCAGGGTTTGAGGGTAGCAGTCAGCAGCCTCAGGGAGTTCCCTGAGGGCTTGTGGAGGATCTGGGGGGGCGGCAGGGGGCTTCTTTTGAGGGTTCAGGGCATGGGGGGGGCCGCTCCCCGGGGAGTGCGGGTCTGGGGGTACCTAAGGAGGATCGGGCCGGCCCCGCAGCACCTGGCTCTCCGCGGGCGGGTCGTACTGCCGCAGCTGCCCCAGGAACTGCAGGTGGCTCTTCTCCTCCTCCAGCTGGGCCACGGCCTCCTCGCTGGCCCTCAGCCGCCGCTGCGTCTCCTCCAGCTCCTCGCGCAGCCACGCGTTCTCCTGGGCCAGTCGCCGGGCCTGTGCCCGCAGCCGCTGTTTCTCCGCCTCCAGGGAGCCCACGTGCGCCGACAGGGCCAGCAGCACCTGCAGGGGGTTGGACAGCAGGGGCCGGCGCCCAGCCCGGGGTCTCCAGTCGGGCCAGAGCACCCCCGTTCCACCCAGGACCCTCCAGATTGTACCGAGACCCCTCCATGTGACCCCCAGGGAGCCTTGTGATTTTACCCAGGCACATAAATGAGGTGCGGGGACGCCTCACATCCTGCCCACGTAGCCCCAAAACCTCCCTAGGACCAAAGTCCTGCAGGTGGACACCATCTGGCTCAGGGGCCCCTGTCACACACAAGGACCCGGTAATGCCCCACCCAGGGACCCTGTTTCCAGCCTAGGCCTTCCCCCCGCCCGCCTGCCTCCACTGTCCCTGGGCCTCCTCCCAGCTCCGAGCCTCCCCCCACCGGAAGCGGGACCACCGGTCCCCTCATACCTGGGCCTCCCCCAGTCCCAGCTCGATGGCCTCCAGCGCGTGGCTCACCACCTGCTGCTTTTCTTCCAGCAGCTCCAGGCCGGCCCCCAGCCCCTGCCCTGCCACGGCCTCAGCCAGGTGCCTGGCCAGGCCATGGTGCTCCGCCCGCAGCGCCTCCAACCCCTGGGCCACCTGTCGGGTCTGGCGCACCAGCTCCTCGGGGCTCAGGCGCTCTGGGCCCAGCCCCGCGTTTCCGGGGGCCGCCACCTGCACGGACATCACTGCTCCTGGGGGGCGGCAGGGATCGGGGAGCCCTCACTGCCAGGGCCGGCCAGCAGCACCCTTCCCGACTCTCTCCCTGGCCGGCCCTCTGCCTCCGCGCCCTCCCCCCACGCCAGCGGCTCCCTGTCCCACGCCCATCCCAGAGTCTAGCTTTGCCTGTCCTCAGCCCAGGACCCTGCCCCGAGGGCAACTCCACACCCCCGTGTGCAGTCACCAAGAGGGCCGACAGTGGTCTCGTGACCTCTCACCTGCCCTGAGCTCACCCGGCCAGCCCCCTCCACGCCTAGGGCCCCAGGTACCCTGGCCCAGAACTCCGGGCTATATGTGACCCGGACGGAGGCGCCCTCCCGGCGGGGCGTGGGGGGCGGGGCGTGTGGAGGCGGCAGCTTCTCCATGAGCTCATTCTTAGGGTGTTTTTGTTGGGAACCAGTCAGACTACTGGGGGTGGGGTGGGGCACAGGAAGCAGAGGAGCCCTCTAGAATTGGGGGGAAGGTCAGGAACGCGGTGGGGGGAGCGTATCAGCTCCTGGGGCCTGAGATGCTGACAGATCCCAAGGGAACAGGGGCCCCACCCCTCCACCGCAGACAGGCTCCGCCAGCGCAAGGCATGCTGGGACACACGTGTGGCAGGCACGGCCCATGGATGTCACACTGGCCATGTGACAGCTCACGGTCTGAGGCCTAGATGGTAACGTGTGGCAGTTCACGTGGTTGTATGTGGGTGACAAAGTCAGTGACACAGCCAGTGGGGCCTCCGGAGCCCTCACACACCAGCACCCACATTCCCCTCCCAGAAACAGAACCCAACACACGCACACCCTTCTTAAATACGCTCCTCTCAGAAATGGAATACACGCACTGTTTTCAAATACAGCACAATACGTAGTTTCTCAGAAACACCGCAACACGCACGCACACCCCCTTCTTAAAAATATAACACGTGGCGCCTGGGGGGCTCAGTCAGGTGAGCGTCCAACTTTGGCTCAGGTCATGCATGATCTCACGGTTCATGAGTTCGAGCCCCGCGTCCGGCTCTGTGCTGACAGCTCAGAGCCTGGAGCCTGCTTCCGAATCTGTCTCCCTCGCTCTCTGCTCCTCCCTCCACGCCCCCCATCCCCGCTCTCTCTCTCTCTCTCTCTCTCAAAAATAAACATTAAAAAATTACTATATATATATAACATAATCTACATTCTTCTCTCAGAAATACAACATATGCCGGACACACTCTTTCTCCTCTAAAAAATAAAAATACAGTCACGCACATCCACATTTTCCTTTCAGAAAAACCTAATGCGAGGTGCCTGGGTGGCTCAGTGGGTTGGGTGCCCAACTCCTGATTTCAGCTCAGGCCATGATCTCACAGTTCATGAGTTCGAGCCCTGCGCTGACAGCGTGGAGCCTGCTTTGGTTTCTATCTGCCCCCACCAGGTCACACTCAAAATAAAGAAACTTGGAAAAAAAAAAAAAAAGCAAATGCAACACACTAGCTCAGGCACACACCCATACACTCCAGAAACAACACATGCACACTCCCCTTGTGCAACTACAACCCAACACACACTGTTTTCCTCTCAGAAGTAAAAGCCAACAGGGGCACTTGGGTGGCTCAGTCGCTTAAGCATCTAACTTCCGCTCAGGTCATGATCTCACGGTCCATGGTTCGAGCCCTGCATAGGGCTCTGTGCTGACAGCTCGGAGCCTGGATCTTGCTTCAGATCCTGTGTCTCCCTCTCTCTCTCTGCCCCTCCCCTGGCTTGTGCTCCCTCTCTCTCTCTCAAAAATAAACATTAAAACGTTTTAAAAAAAAGAAAAAAAGCCAACACACACAAACTCTGCCCCCTCAGTAGTGAAGATACAAGCAAATCCCAACTCACATTCAGCCTCCTCTCTCGCACTTTTACCCATGACCTCTCTCTCTCTCACACTCGTAAAGTCGGCAAGCAGCTAACTCTCAATTAGCCCATCGTCTCCTCCAGGCACGCGTGCGCGCATGCGCACGCACACACACGCACGCACTGCGGGGACTCACTGTGGACCTGCCACCTTCCTCCTCCCCCCACACACACCTTGCTGGGCCAGCCAGCGATTCACACATCGAAATACAGAGCTTCAAGCACGGACGTGCAAATGACCCCTGAACTCAGATTCAGTTGTGCTGGCACAAGTGGGCGCCCACTGTGGGCACAAACGGCTGCGGAAACACGCGGAAGTGGTCCTGCGTACACCCTCTCGGGCACACACTCAAGCTGCTAGCCCGTTGTAAGCAGCCCAGTGGTGTGGGTGCCTACGCACGTGCTCACAATCGTGTACACTCAGACACACAGGGGTCACCGAATCATGGACTTTCTATACTGAAGGCTCCCACTCGCCATCAATCGCTACGCGGACGTGTGTGCAGGTACCCGCGTCTCTCTCGTACCGCCGGTGTCACGCCTCACACACGAGCCCCATAAACAAAGTCGCTATCACCCAAGTTCACGGGGAGCCAGCCTGACCACCACAACCATTATTCCCACCATGCTGCCCACGTGAATTTCACACGAGCTGAATGCTCTGTAGGCGCCACCCACAGTCAGCCACAGCGAGAGTCCCAGCGACACACCACACGGACCGGTGCCTGGACACACATCAGCTCCCACACTCAGTACCCCCGAACGACACACTCCCTTTCCCACGCTCAGCCCTGTCAGCCGACAGGATCACAGGGACACCCTACACATCCGTGCGGGTCCCCCATTAGCCAGCTCCCCGCCCCTCAGCCCCGCCCCTTCACACCTAATCCTAGAAACAGTGCAAGACCCCCCTCATACCCGCACCGCCCCCATCCCCCCGGCATTAGACACACCATCAGAGGTCGCCCATGTTTCCATCTCTCTGTAACAGTTCCACGTCATTTACGGGGTCCCTCCGCGCCCTCTCCGGGCGACCCCGCCCGGCCATCGCCCTTTCTCACCCACACCCGCGGCCTGACACCACGGCGCACACACCTGAGCCTCGCACACCATCACACACACCTGAGCTGCGGACCCCGTCTCTCCACACACACACCCGTATCAGGAGGCCCCCGTGATGGCCAGCCCCCTAAACCGCACACCTCACCCCTGGCCATCCAGCCCGGCCCAGCTCCGCGCACCCGGGCTCCCCCCACCCCCCACCACGCCAGCCCGTCACAAGGGCCCCCTCCCTCCCCTCAGGCCCCGCCCCGTCTTCGCTCCTGTTTACCTGCGCACGGGGGAAGGGGTGCGGCCCCAGCTGGGCCTCCAGACCCCGGGGGGGAGCCCCAGGGCGGGGCAGGGGGAGTCCAGGGGCGCCAAGGCCCGTCCCCGTCGCCAGGCCGGCGGGCCCAAGCGTGCGCCGGGCCCAGCCCTCGCCCTCCGCCCCCGTCCCCAGCCTCGTGGTCCCCGAAGCCCCCGCCCGGCACCTCGGCGCCCACCTGAGCGCGGAACGGCTCCGGGACCCGCTCCGCCGCCGCGCGCCCGGCCGCGTCCAGCACACGGCGCACGCCCCGCCGCTCCCAGCTGCGCCCCGGGTCTCGGGCCGAGGGTGACTCCTCCGAGGGGCGGGGCGGCCGGGAGCCCCGCCCCCGCAGGTGAGGCCGGCCCCGCCCACCGCCCCTCTCCCCTGGAGCCACGCGGTCCCGGCCCTGCGGGAGCCGCAGAACCGCGCAGGCCGAACCCGCAGGCTGTAGGGCCCGTCGGGTCTGAGGACGGTCCCGGCGCGCTGGTGTCTGGAAAGCCGGGTCTCAGCGAAGCTACAGTCTTGGAAACTTTGGATCCCAGACCGATGGCTTTCCTGCAGTGCCTGCTCCGACCTCTCTTCCCAACGACCCTGTCCGTTTGTCTGGTAGCTTCTCAAGGGCCGCTTCGTCCCAGAGGCCTTCGGTGACTGCTCCTTCTAGATTACACCGTTCTCGTCAAAACACGACCGCATTCCCCTGCGTGATCTTGTTCATAGAACTTCTCGGGGCCTAGAATTATTTTACGTATCGTTACGTCACATTATTATGTTTCATCACCTGATTGGCGAGGTAATGTAATGGCTAAAAACTGGGCTCCGGTTTCAAAGTTGACCTCAGCGCCTACTGGCTGCAAAGCCCTTGGACAAGTAACTCAAACTCTGTGTGTCAATGTTCTGAACCTGTACAACGGGGATAGTCAAAGGCTGCAGGATTGAATGAGTCCGTAAATGGAAGGGACTCTATCTTGTCAGCACTGTATCTTCAGCACTAGAGCAGAGCCTGGTGCAAAGTATGTGCTCAATAAATATCTGTTGAGCGGTTGACCGAATGAATCAAGTCTTAGAAACGTAAATTGGCCAAAGCTGGGCCCACAGGACTTCCACATCATCGAATTTGGTTCGATTGATTCGAGGCTTTCCGAAACTCCTGCAGTACCCCAGTCGCTGCACTACAGGATGCCTCCAGAAGAGGGCGCTGCTGGTCCGTGAGCCAGGCTCCTGACCAGAGCGCCGATCCGCACCTTCCCTCTGAGCCGCTCCCTTGTTCTGAACCTCAGCGCAGATGACCCCTCCTCCAGGAAGCCCTCTTGGATCCCCAAGGCCGGATGAGACGTTCCTTCCTGGATCCGGCAGCCTTCTGGGCTCCCACATCTCAGTCGTGCCCTCTCTGGGTCATCACTGTCTTGAGGACAGGTGTATACCCCATATTCAAATGTAGCCCCAAGAGGGGACCTGCCGGGCCAAAGCATCTCAGTCACCGCTGTGTCCCCAGTGCTACCCAGCACAGGCTGAACACAGAGAAGTCACTTGGGTGAATAACTCGGTTAAATAACGGAAAATAAAGCTCAAGTTCACGCTCTAACTTCTCCAGGTACTTCTTTTCTTTTCTCTCTCTCTCTCTTTTAAATTAGTTTCATATTTTTTTAAAAAAAAAAAAGTTTATTTATTTATTTTGAGAGAGGCAGAACGAGAGAGGGAGGGGCAGAGGGAGAAGGAGAGACTCCCAAGCAGGCTCTGTGCTGGCTGGGGAGGCTGACTCAGGGCTTGAACTCAGGAAACCACAAGATCACGACCTGAGAGGAAACCGAGTGGATGCTTAACAGTCGGAGCCGCTCGGGCGCCCCCTCCAGGAATTTCTAAGGAACAGGGTAGAAAGAGTCAGACAAACCCTTCCCCCCTCCCC